CTCCTTTCAGCATTTTTGCTTTGCTCAAAACTGTGTCCCTGTCCTTGATTCTTAGAAACTTCACCATTAGAGGTCGAGGTCGTTGTCTACCATGGGTACCTTCTGTGGCTGTAGATGCTTTTCCGAGACATTGAACTCTTTCAATCCCACTAGTGTAGGGATCCAGGTCCAGTTTCTCCTTGAAGAGAGTCAGCACCCTCTCCTCTGAATCCGACCATCTTTCATTTTCAGACTCAGGAATGCCATCAACAATGCCATTGTGACATTTGGATTGACCATCTAAAACGTCCGCTTTGTTGTTTAATGCCATCATTGATTCAGCCAGCTTGTGTATATCCACTTCATTTGATTTACAGTTGGATGACAGACTGGTGCTGGCAGCTTTCAAGTCATCCACCTCCTTTTGTGTAAAATGGAGGCTGATTCTCAATTCCTGGAGCTCTTTCAACATAGCATCCATTCTTGTGTTTGTATTGTCCATAAGGGTGTGCACACAAACCTTAGTTGCTCTCCTGCTGTTGTAGCAGTTCTTTGTAGAAATCTTCTTGTCGATCCAGTTGTTCACGCAGTTGTTCTTGTGAGATGTACTGACCATTTTATTTGTCCTCCTTCTTTCGACCAGCCATCTTGGAATCACTGAGGTCTGAGGCCTAGGTCAAGGCCTAGTTCAGCATATAACTTGAACCCAGAGCTGAATTTCTGGCCCAAATTAAATATGAAGTTTGAGTTTACTCCATATAATTCAATTACTGAGAGTAAACTAGAAATAGACCAGGGATTCAAAAGATATTAAATGGATAGAGTAGTTACTCTCACAGCAGGAACACAGCAGCAGCCAGCAGCGACATTAACATAAATTCAATGCTGGCTGCATGTTGGCTGCATGTTTTTCATGACTTTGCAATGTAGTAAAAACTCCCCAGCAACAGAGAGCCAGTGGCCATGTGATAATACACATTAGAAGAATAAAGTTATGAGCCACTCCATTGTTTTTTAGTAAACAGCAGTGTATCCATAGCGGAGACCAGGTATGGTTGCAACACTTTTTGTCTCAATACCTATAACTCGCTGAATTTTCACTCAAACTCACTGAACTTTCAACTTTAGACACAAAGTCCCCATATACTTCTACTAGATGACAATGTTTCCAGCTTCTTCAACTCTATCACAGAACTAATGAACTGATGTCAAGTACGAGGAGTTCCATCACAACCTTCCCCACTACCCAACACATTCTTACTCTGCAACCATGGTCACTCACTGTTTTTTCTCTCTGACACCACTGGTGCCAAGGGGAAATTCAGCAGGACAACAACACAAGTTTAGGGGGCAGAAGTCTGACTAGGGTGGATTGGGTCCAACAACCACAGACTTTCATTCGGGAGTTTGGTGTTTGCTACCTGTAAAATTGTAAAGACAAACCCTGTTTTTTTTTCCTAAACACAATCAAGTGTGTGTTGTACTGGGCCCTATTTCAGAAAGCAGGATTAGTGAAAACTCTGAGTATGTTGAGCCTGAGATGATGGAAACTCTGAGTTTTCCGTTTCAGAAAGCCAGCTCAGTGAAACCCTGAGTCAGTTACTATGGCAACTTACTCCATGAAGCAAACCTGCTGGCTCGCAGGTTTGCTTAATCTAAGTAGCAGGTAGGAGAGACATGGCGTGTCATTTAGTGAAGTTGTGGACGTTGGGGCACAGTTTATACAGAGGCTGCTGCGTAAGGAGAAGGTGATTAGACCCCGTTTGGATTTCTCCCCAGAGGAGTGTCTGTATGAAAGATACTGTTTGACCTCACAGTCTTTCATTTATCTTAACAATCTGTTCCACCCAGATATATCACATATTAGGGCAATGCATTGCCCTTTGATTCTTCGGCAGGGCAGTTTTCTGTATAACATCAGAGACACTGAACACATTAGAGAAACAGTGGTTTGTCGGGCCGCAAGAAAAGTGACTCTGGCTCTGAGAAGACTTTTGCCCGTTTTTTGTGGTTTTCCCTGGACATAAATCAGAATCAATTATCAAAGTATTTGCAATGGAGCATCGGTGACTTAGTGGATGGAGCGGATGCCCCGTGATCAGACGCCCAGCACCTGATGCAGTGGCCGTGGGTTCAAACCCAGCCTGCAGCCTCTCGCTACGCGTCGTTCCCTCTCTCCCTCAACATTATGCTGTTTTGCCATTAGAGGCAACAAAAGCCCTGAAAATAATCTTAAAAAAGAGGAATTCCACAGAACTGCAGGTTTGTCAGTATTAATCAATGTAACTGGCTCATTTACAGGACTAAACACCCCATAATAGCTCCATCTGAGCATAAAGGAGATTAGGCCTACGTGAATCAGAAGTCATTTCACAGCAGTTCAGCAATTCAATTAACCTCAGCCTAGAATGAAGGAAGTATAAGTAAAACTTTTACCAGTCTGTAGGCTACAACATTTTTGTGTTTGATTTTGAATTGATGCCCAGTGTGTTTGGGGTCCATCAGATTACAGCCGAATAAGATGATACAACAAATTTTATTAAAATAGGCTACATGAACTCTGTGTAATGTTTCTGTATTTTCTGTATGTTAGACACATTAACACATCACATTGCATAACATCACTTCACATTACCTACTAACACACTCTGCAGTCTGTTCCCATCACACCTCATGCTGTTTAGCTGCAGCTGACGTCTTAGTTTTTATTTTTTTTTCATTTTGCGGTCATTAAAATCTCAGACTCAGCTGGGACAAAAAAAGTGGCTTTCTGCTTTCGGCCACTGAATCACGTTAGTTGCACTCGGTGCGTTCACGGTGAGCACTCTTTCGGTGCTCACCGTGAACGCGCCTCTCTCAGGCTGAACATACTCAGAGTTGATTGAACTAATGCTGATCAGCTTTACTGGAACTGAAAACTGAGTTTCTCAGCTCAGGCTCAGTCAACCCCTAGATCGGGATTAGGCTCAGAGTTTGTTGAGCCTGCTTCCTGAAATAGGGCCCTGATGTAGTGCATTTATTTTGAGAATGTGTTGCATTCCGACCCTGCCATGTATTGTCGTTTGGTCGTGGACTTTCCGTGTCAATATATGACATGCAAGGTACCCTGGGTGCATTTGTTATTGACATTCTGAGATGCCATGTCAACTTCAGTCTGTTACATGCATTGTCTGTTTACAAAATACACTTTAATTTTCATGTGAAATGTAAAGTTTGTATACAGTGTCTTTCAAAATAAATACACTATGTTGGTACAACATGGTGAATTTTTTCTACTTGTAGCCCTTGTGAGAAAATGAGGGGTTAAATAAATGTAGTGCTTTATAAGGGAGGAAAGACCTAATAAGATAAGAAATTAAGTGAAATTAAGGTTGTTTTCATAACACTTAATAGAGACACAATAAATATTAATAAGTTAATGGAGATTTCAGTTAAAAAGAATACAACTGCATGTTAAGTTCAAGGTAAATAGTTAAATATCGCTAGATGTGCATTCAGAGAATTCATGTGGGTTTGTTCTATTGTTTTATTGGTCGAGTATGTGGTCAGTTTGATTCGCCTGTGATGATTGGGGGGGAAATGCGGAAGAGACGAAAAAAAAAGACGGGGAGGAGGCAGCAGCTAAGCTAGCACCGGGAAGAGCGGAATGTGAGGAACAGAGTGTATCTCATATAGCTGGAAGAAATGTAGGCTAGTTAAACACTACCGCACAGTTCCTCATTATCTGAGAGTTTATTGAGGCTTGTATTAGTGTGTGTGTGTGTGTGTGTTTGTGCCACGTGAAATGAAGTTAAAAGACGACGCATCGGACGGGAGTAGGAAGACTTTGCCGCCGCGGTCGTCATGTTCCTTTGTTGACGCCCGCCGAGGATTCCTCTAGCTGATCTGTGGGTTTGCCTAGCTGCATTTCGGTGGTGTGGAGCAGAGGATATCTCCAGCTGTACTGTGACTTTGCTGACTGTTTCTTCTGCGGGGAGAGCGGAGGATTTCGTCAGCTGAGAGGTGAGTCGGACAAGCTGTGTTGTTTTCTCATGGAGGAGAGGACGTCTTCATCGGAACTGTGAGCCTGCTGTGTGGATTCGCTCTCGGGAAAAAGGGGATTTCCATGGGCCGCAACGCACCCGAGCATCAAACAGGCTGCAGCGGGGTTTTCTGTTGTCATGAGTGTGTGAATTTGAGTGTGCGTGTGTGGGCCCACGTTACGGTATAGAGTATCATCAGTTATTGAGTGCCAGTTATTGAGTGGCTATTGAACCATTAAGGTATTTTGATATACATTTGTGGTAAGCTAATTGAGAGGTGTATATGATTAGTATTTTCCTTGCTCAGTGAGGTAATTTTGGTTTAGTCCAGAGGTTATTATAGACTTCTTTTAAAGGGGTCTAAGTTGTGTTTTGGCACAATATATTTTTTTTTTGTTTGTTTGTTTCATTTTAATTCAAAGGGTAAATATTTGTATTGCTGCAAAACTTTCAGTAAACTACGTTTGTTTGATTTTATAAAGTTGTCGGGTGTCAGTTAATAAGTTAGAACGGGTGTATATGCCTGGACTATTTTTGGATATCATTAAGAGTAATATCAGCTCACTTAAAATAGGTAAACCTTCGGGTAGCTACCTTAACACAAAACGAACCCAAAATCACTCCATTAGTCTAGTGTGCAGTGGGGTGCTACATAAAATGGAGGCACCGCTGGGATAATTTAGTTTCAAGTTAGTTACTGACCCAGACAACAAAAGTAGTTAAGTGAGACAAGTTAAACATTTCATAGGGAATAAACTAATGTTGCCATATATTCTCAGTTCATATGTTTAGGAAAGTTAAAAACTATTCATTGCAGTAGTCGTGACCACGTTAAAGGTGCAATATCTTAGTTAAAAGCAACGCTTTATTTCATTCATAAGTTTAAAGTAACCACTAAAAAGTTATTTCCCTGAGCTCAGGTTGCTTTATACTACAAAAACTTAAAGTGAAATAGGCTCAGCAAAACAATATAGTGCAGCTACTAGGCAAAAGAGCACTATGGCACAACTACAGCACTGGTGCAAAGGCGAGGGCATTAACCCCATATATGCCATATTGGTCAAGGATGTCCCAGAAGACACAGAGAATGACTTTGTTGAAGAAACCCTGCAGTCCATAAAAGCTCTTGGACGGGTGAAGGTCAGAGGAAGGATGTATGATCCTCGGTCTCAAAGCCTAACTGTCTTATGTGAATGTAGGGAGGAAGTAAACACAAGAGCCATCCCTCTGGATGTGTTACCAGAAGGTTGTGATTCACCATGGAGGATTTTTGGGCCCTCTGAAGAGGAAACTGTATTCAAGGCTGAGCAAATAAGGGGTGATGCACCGGAGCTGCCACAAGTCTCTGGTCTTTCTTTTCCACTCCAAGCGTCCACACCTGAAGCCATTATCAGAGCAGTGGGAGACATAATGCAGAGAACAGGGAAACCTGCTAGTGACAATATCTCATACAGGAGGTTGCGAACTTTCTCTGGTGTCCTCCCAACACCTCCTGGAGAAGAGCAGTTGGATAACTGGATAGAGCAAGCTCGATTGATGATAGAGGAGTGTGACCGACCAGAAAGAGAGAAGCGAATGAAAATAATGGAAAGTGTAAAGGGTCCTGCGCTAGAGATCCTGCAAGCTGTTCGCTTCAACGATCCAGATGCAACGCCTACAGAGTACATTGATGTGATCGAGAACACTTTCGGCACCCTGGAAACAGGTGAAGAGCTCTACTTTGCCTTTAGAATGCTCTGTCAGCAACCAAGTGAGAGGCTTTCAGCATTTCTGAGAAGGATGGAAAGGGTTCTGAACAAGGTGGTCCAAAAGGGAGGTTTGCAACCCGCCTCCGCAGACAAAGCACGCCTTGACCAACTCATTAAAGGGGCCACAAGGTCTGACATGATGCTCCTAAACCTCAGGCTTAGAGAGCGAAGGGATCAACCACCTACATTTTTGCAGCTGCTGAATGAGATACGTACTGAAGAAGAGTATGAAGCCTCCCGGCGTAAGCTGAACCCAGCCAAATCAGTGCATGTTAAGACTGTAACATTACCAGCAGAAGCAGAAATAAGAGATCTCAGAGTGGAGATACAAGAGTTGAAATCACAACTCACTGAGCTTACAGCTTTGTCTATTGCCCAGTCTCCTCCACCTCCTGCCCCGGAATCTGCAGTCACTACTGAGGTGGAAGCCTCAGGAGAAGATAAAAACATTCAAGCATTAAAGAAGGAAGTTAAAAAACTGAGGAAATGAGTCTCAGTTATGTCAGTCAATCCTACCACAGTGTCCAGAGACACACAACCCCGTCAAGATGCACCGCCCTTCACGAGTCGGCAGAAAGCCTCATCTCAAAGAGACTCAAGTGACTTCTTCTGTTACCGTTGTGGTGAGGATGGGCATTTTGCCAATAAATGTAGTGCTACAGAAAACTATCCAAAAGTGATACAGAAACTAATCCGTGCTCAGCGACAACTGAAAACAAGTCAAAGGGAACAAAGTGCTGCCACAACTGCAGTGAACACCATAAATGCTATTGTTAAGAGAAGTGCTGTGGATGTGCAGGCAGGCAGCCTGCCAGAAGGACTGGTAGGACCACCCTCCACTGCTGATGTGAAAGTTGATGGCAAGCCTTGCACCGCTCTCCTGGACAGTGGTTCCCAGGTGACAATCATTTTTGACAGCTGGTATGTCGAGCACCTGTTACATGTACCCATACATCGAGTCACTGATTTGAACCTCTGGGGCCTTAGTGACTCAGATAGCAGCTACCCCTACAGAGGCTACATCCAAGTTGATTTAGAGCTTCCAGAGAAGGAACCTGGCAAAGCCCAGTCAATTCCTGTCCTTGCCTTGGTGTGCCCAGACCCTCGCTGCTCAGACAACGTTTCTGTGCTGGTTGGTACCAATGTTCGAAAGCTTAGACCATACACGGCTAACACAGAGGTTGAAGAGCTGGGTAACATCTGGTCGCTGAGAGTATGTTTCAGAACAGAAGGTCCAGCACTCACCTATCACAAAGCCGCCCAGAAACAAGTCTGATGACAGCCCCGTGGCTGAGGTGAAGTGGTCTGGCCCGGGTCCTCTTGTCATACCTGCTGGTAGTGAGTATATCGCTACATGTAAAGTAAAAGAGAAACACATCCTGGAAGATAGTGTCCTCATTACAGAGTGTGCACCCTCACCAGCTCTCCCTCCCAGTGTGTTGGTGCAGCCCACTGTCCTGTTCTCAAAAATGATGGACAAGAACAAGTTCCTAGTGTTGTTGCGGAATGATTCACTCAAAGCTACCTCCATCCCAATGGGCACAGTGATTGCACACCTTAATGTAGCTGATACAGTGACTGAGATCCCAACTTCAAAGTCAGAGACTCCCCCAAAGATTGATTCGTTACTGTTCGATTTTGGAGACTCTCCCATTCCAAATGAGTGGAAACAAAGACTAAGACAAAAACTCTCTGAGAGGTCCAACGTGTTCTCAACCGACGAATGGGATGTTGGATTAGCCAAGGGAGTGGAACATCATATGCGGCTAACGGATGAAACCCCATTCAGAGAACGGTCTCGCTGTATATCGCTGGCCGACCTTGATGATCTTCGACGCCACCTTCAAGGACTCCTGGCAGCAGGGATAATAAAAGAATCGAGAAGTCCCTATGCTTCACCAATTGTCCTGGCACAAAAGAAAAATGGACAGTTGCGCATGTGTGTGGACTATCGAACACTGAACCGAAGAACAATCCCTGATCAGTATGCTGTGCCACGCATTGATGATGCATTGGACTGTTTGGCTGGAAGCAAGTGGTTTTCAGTGTTGGACTTGCGCAGTGATTATTATCAGATCCCAATGGCAGAAGAAGATAAAGAGAAAACCGCTTTTATCTGCCCAGTGGGATTTTTTCAGTTTGAAAGAATGCCTCAGGGGAGCACAGGGGCCCCGGCAACCTTTCAAAGACTTATGGAAAAGGCTGTTGGAGACATGCACATGCTGGAAGTCATCGTGTACCTGGATGACCTGATCGTGTTCGGGAAAACTCTGGAAGAGCACGAACAAAGACTTCTCAAAGTGATTGACAGACTGGAAGAGGCTGGTTTGAAGTTGTTGATAGACAAGTGTCAGTTCTGCTGGCCACAAGTAAAGTATGTGGGACACATTGTGCCAGAGAGTGGGATTGCCACAGATCCAGCCAAAGTTGAAGCGGTAGCCCACTGGAAACAGCCCATTGATCTCCCATCCTTGCAGTCATTTTTAAGGGTTCTGTGGGTACTACCGTCGCTTCATAAAGAACTACTCCATCAGTCAGACCTCTTACTGAACTGTGTAAGGGTTACCCTCACACCCAAAATAAGGGGAAAGCAGCCAAGGTACCCAAGAAGACGTACTACAGAGTGAATGAACCTTTTGGGGACAGGTGGGATCAGTTGTGCACAGAGGCTTTCAAGAACATCATTCACTGTCTCACCAACGCACCTGTCCTAGCTTTCGCTGACCCGTCCAAGCCTTATGTGCTACACATTGATGCCAGTTTTCAGGGTTTGGGAGCTGTGCTCAACCAAGAACACCCAGAAGGGTTGAGACCAGTTGCTTTTGCTAGCAGAAAGGTCAGTTCCTCTGAGAAGAACTACCCAGTGCACCAGCTTGAGTTCCTGGCACTCAAATGGGCTGTGGTCGATAAATTCCACGATTATCTGTATGGGACCAAGTTTGTGGTGAGGACAGATAACAACCCCCTAACGTATATCCTCACAGACAGCCAAACTCAATGCAACTGGTCACCGTTGGCTTGCTGCTCTGTCGACGTACAACTTCACTCTTCAGTATCGGCCAGGGCGCAGCAACATTGATGCTGACTCACTGTCCCGCAACCCCCCTCCAGCTGATGGAACTGAGTGGAAGAACATGCCCCCTGAGAGTGTTAAAGCTCTCTGCAAGCAGATCGCCTGTGGGAAGCCATCTGAAGGTTCACTGAACTATGCGAAGCCTTTAGGGATTTCTCCAGAGGCTATCCCAGAGTGTTATGTTTTCCCCACTCGCCTGGATCTTGGTTACTTGAGTCAGATTAGCAGGAAAGATCTCATCAGAGCTCAAGACGCAGACCCAGTGATCGCGCCGGTAAAGCAAGCAGTTGGTGGGGGACACTCAATTCCCACCGTTAAGGGTGGTGATCCAGGGGCCATGTTGCTTCAGAGAGAGGCCAATAAGTTAGTGATGATGGATGAACTGCTCTACAGAAAAGTTGAAAGACTGTCTGGTACAGAAGTACATCAGCTTGTTCTTCCCAAAGAGTGTATCGCCAGGGTTTTCAGATCCCTCCATGATGAGTCAGGACAACTGGGGGTAGAAAAGACAATCGAACTCATCAGATACCGGTTCTACTGGCCCAAAATGGGAGCAGAGGTGGAACAGTACGTCAAAAACTGTGGTAGGTGTGTCACACGAAAGACGCCTCCTCAGAGAGCTGCCCCTTTAAACCAGATAACCAGTAAAGGCCCACTCGATCTGGTATGTACTGATTTTTTGTCCCTTGAGCCAGATTCCCAAGGACTTGCCAATATCCTTGTGGTAACTGATCATTTTATCAGATATGCCCAGGCTTTTCCATCAAAAGATAAAAAGGCTGCCACTGTAGCCAAGATTCTGTGTGAGCGGTACTTTGTGCACTATGGACTTCCTGCCCGGATACATTCGGATCAAGGGCGGGATTTTGAAAGCAGACTGATCCAAGACCTCCTGAGAATGTTGGGGATCCGTAAGTCCAGAACATCACCTTACCATCCTCAAGGGGATCCACAACCTGAGAGGTTTAACTGCACCCTCCTCTCTATGCTTGGCACACTAGATCCAAATCAGAAGCAGAAGTGGAGTCAGAACATCAGTCAGTTGGTGCACGCATACAATTGCACCCGTAGTGAGGCAACTGGTTACTCACCTTATCTGCTAATGTTTGGGAGAGAAGCCTGGTTGCCAGTGGACATCTGTTTTGGAGTGTCTGATCGGAGTGAGAAGGGTGTGACTTATCAGCAGTATGTAACCGAACTGAAAACAGGTCTTCACAAAGCCTACCAACTCGCTACAAAAGCTGCTGACAAAAATCACAAGAGAAACAAAAAAACACATGACAGGCTGGTAAGAGAGCAAGTCTTGGAAGAAGGAGATTGTGTGTTGCTGAGAAACTTCGGTGTCACTGGAAAGCATAAGCTGAAGGATAAATGGAGGTCAATGCCATACATTGTTGTTGGAAAGATGCCAAAACTCCCAGTTTACCAAGTGAAACCAGAGAGGGGAACTGGAGAGGTGAAAATAGTGCACAGAAACCACCTTTTACCTATTGGCTATCTAGTGAGATTGCCTGTGGATAGTGATGAACCAGAGCTGCCACAGAGGAGACCTGGAACTAGGTCACAGCAGAGACAGGTTCAAAGTCACCCACAAATTGTCAATAATGGAGATGCATCACTCTCTTCAGAGTCAGACTATGAAGAAGTTGACCCACCAAGGCCACTGGTTCAAGGGTGGAGAGATCTTTTGTCCCAGCCCGAGTTGTTCACAAGGCAGCAAAGTCAAGCACCTGATGAAGTCCAAGTAACTTCACCAGCCAGAAGTGTGGCAGAAATTGACTTAAGTCTGGAGACTGTGGACATTACAGATGCTCATTTGCTTCCTATCGCTGATCTAGATGCAGACAGAGACTTAGAAGGAGGAGCAGATGTAAATGAGAATGAAGATGATGAGATCCCAGTTGAACGCTCAAAGAGAGTGAAGAAACCAGTGATAAGACTGAGTTATGATGAACTTGGAAAGCCATCCAACCAGCCATTGACTGTCCTAAGCCACGGTGTACTGGTTGGAAGCGGCACCTACAGAGATTCAAGATACCTCCCATGCCGAACCGCCTGGTGTCACCTTATGGCCTTGTGCTGTCATTGTTCTAACTTAAAACCCTCAAGACATTGCCAAGAGATTCAGGTTATCTAATCTGTAGTTTTGATGGGGACATCAAAAAGTTTAGAAGGGGGAGGGTGTAGCCCTTGTGAGAAAATGAGGGGTTAAATAAATGTAGTGCTTTATAAGGGAGGAAAGACCTAATAAGATAAGAAATTAAGTGAAATTAAGGTTGTTTCATAACACTTAATAGAGACACAATAAATATTAATAAGTTAATGGAGATTTCAGTTAAAAAGACTACAACTGCATGTTAAGTTCATTTTGAAGGTAAATAGTTAAATATCGCAAGATGTGCATTCAGAGAATTCATGTGGGTTTGTTCTATTGTTATATTGGTCGAGTATGTGGTCAGTTTGATTCGCCTGTGATGGTTGGGGGGGAAATGCGGAAGAAACGAAAAAAAAGACAGGGAGGAGGCAGCAGCTAAGCTAGCACCGGGAAGAGCGGAATGTGAGGAACAGAGTGTATCTCATATAGTTGGAAGAAATGTAGGCTAGTTAAACACTACCGCATAGTTCCTCATTATCTGAGAGTTTATTGAGGCTTGTATTAGTGTGTGTGTGTGTGTTTGTGCCACGTGAAATGAAGTTAAAAGACGACGCATCGGACGGGAGTAGGAAGACTTTGCCACCGCGGTCGTCATGTTCCTTTGTTGACGCCCGCCGAGGATTCCTCTAGCTGAACTGTGGGTTTGCCTAGCTGCATTTCGGTGGTGTGGAGCAGAGGATATCTCCAGCTGTACTGTGACTTTGCTGACTGTTTCTTCTGCGGGGAGAGCGGAGGATTTCGTCAGCTGAGAGGTGAGTCGGACAAGCTGTGTTGTTTTCGCATGGAGGAGAGGACGTCTTCATCGGAACTGTGAGCCTGCTGTGTGGATTCGCTCGCGGGAAAAAGGGGATTTCCATGGGCCGCAACGCACCCGAGCATCAAACAGGCTGCAACGGGGTTTTCTGTTGTCGTGAGTGTGTGAATTTGAGTGTGCGTGTGTGGGCCCACGTTACAGTATAGAGTATCATCAGTTATTGAGTAAAGTTATTGAGTGGCTATTGAACCATTAAGGTATTTTGATATACATTTGTGGTAAGCTAATTGAGAGGTGTATATGATTAGTATTTTCCTTGCTCAGTGAGGTAATTTTGGTTTAGTCCAGAGGTTATTATAGACTTCTTTTAAAGGGGTCTAAGTTGTGTTTTGGCACAATATATTTTTTATTTGTTTGTTTGTTTCATTTTAATTCAAAGGGTAAATATTTGTATTGCTGCAAAACTTTCAGTAAACTACGTTTGTTTGATTTTATAAAGTTGTCGGGTGTCAGTTAATAAGTTAGAACGGGTGTATATGCCTGGACTATTTTTGGATATCATTAAGAGTAATATCAGCTTACTTAAAATAGATAAACCTTCGGGTAGCTACCTTAACACAAAACGAACCCAAAATCACCCCATTAGTCTAGTGTGCAGTGGGGTGCTACATACTTAAACAATGAACAGACACACGTGGTTGTGTTTAGGACAAAAGAACCGGGTTTGGCTTTACATTCATACGAGAAGCAAACGCCAGCCTCCTGGGTGAAAGTCAGTGATCGTTGGATCCATCAAACACTCCTTCCTCACACCCTTCTTGGACTTTTCACCCCCTTATCTTTCATTGTTGTCCGGCCATATTTCCCTCTGACACTGCCTGGTGGCATTATGCCAATGTCAAAGAACGGCTTTTCTCATTAGTGTCCGACGGGGAAGAAGCTTATGGGCTGAAATATGTGCCACCAGAAACTGAATTTGAATCATTTATATTTGAATTTGAATTTCTAAACTTGAGTAATTGCATTGAAAAACTGAATTTGAATCACATAATTTGAAATTGTATTGTTTAATTTGAATCATTGCATTGAAAACTGAATCTGAATAGTATAATTTGAAATTGAATTTATTTCTACATATCTTCACATTCAGTTCTCACAATTCAATTTCAGTTCTCAAAATTCAATTTCAATTTACTGTGACAGACATCCGGGTAGTTTAAGGATGAAGGAAGAGCAATCGAGCGCAGATACACAGGACTCCTCTTCGGCCAATCAGCACCTACGTTTTTGAACATGTAGGAAGAAGCGCTCGCCTTGATCCATAGACCATAGACAATAGGCTCGTTCGAGATGAACTGTGCCTCGCCTGAAAAGTAGACAAGAGCAGGCGGCCGCAGCAGGGGGCGGTGACAAAAAGCTGTGGTGAAGTCAGGCAGTTTCCCGACAGTTTCCAGCGGCCTTCAGTCCGTATAGGAAGTCAGAGACACACACATATCCTGTCTGGAATGATGTCAATTCATTAAAAAAGTGATCAGTTTTCAGTCTCCAGTTGTTTTAATTATGATAGATTAATTTATTAAAATGCTTTACAGGTGATCTGTAGTTTATGTCCATGGTTTATCCTCCATTTGATATGAATTCTCCTGTAAATCAGCATCATATCAGTTTGACCTGTCCCCTCAACTACACAGGCTGAATAAACTGTGTTTGACTATAAGGTTAATATTTTCAGAGGAAAAAAAAATACAAGACAACAACTTTCATTAAAGATCAGTCAAATACAGTCAGGGCTTCACATCTGATGTTATTTTAAGAATCCTCACATCCCACGGACCACAAGTCTCTGTGTTGCTAAATACTTCAATAATTAAACCGTCCAATATTAATATAGTACAGTAGACTCTGTATAGTTTATGATGAATGTATTTAGTCTCTGACAACTAAACTTCACCATCAGTCACACAACATGTTTTCTGTTCACAGGATAAACCATCAGATCAGACAAATACAATCTTAATCTCTAAAATTCAACAAAAATGAAAAGTTTATCTAAAACGTCATATTGTTGAGTCGACATCTGAACCAATCAGCTGTTAGATCAGGTGAGAGCCAGGTGGTGCAGTTGATGGAGAGCAACTGCAGCGCCTGGCTCTAAAAACTGCGGCCGCCTCGCTCTTGCGGTTTTATCGCCGTCCACTTTTGTAATACGTCAGAGCAATACTCAAGCTCGGCAGTTCGGACTTGTGGACTTGGTAAGTTCGGACTTGGCAAGTCCACGCGAGAGTCCGGACTTCCCAAGAACGGGAGGACGGGAGTACAGTCATTTCTGCTTTTGGAACAGCAGCGAAATTGATGATGTCACCACCTCTGCTCGCCTTGGCTGTTGTAGCCTACTGTGTTGTAGCCTGTACATCCATTTAGAATAAAACAATATAAACACAGCCCTGCAGCTTTTCATTGTCATTGTAAGAAATTAATATGTATATGTTTTTAACGTTTCAACATATATAACTGACATACAAAAAAAAAAAAAAAAATTGCCAAAATATTTTCATAAAATGTCTTTTAAAACCTTTTCCCCGCAGCTGGCTTCTGATTATAATCAAAAGTCAAGTGCGGGGGGAAAGTTTGTGGAGAGTTGGTGGTTATTGTGATCGTGAGCATTGGCGAGATGGAAATCAAAAATCAATAACGGACATGGATCGGAGAAGGCGTCTTGGCGCAGTTATTGCAGCAGGACTGCTATACCTGCAGGCTGAGGAGGAGGCTGCCCAGCTGAGGAGGCAGATCCCAGAAAGACAGCGGAGAATGAGGATGAGACGTGCGATGCTTGCATGTCTGTTCGATATGTTTGTCCAGTTGTGGACAAAGTACCCAGGAATATCACAACAAAGAACAAAAACTCAGTCACAAGTCAAAGTGCTGCATACCAAATCTGATTTGAGTAAAAGTATCTGGGTATTGTCAGCAAAATGTAGGACTACTTAAAATTAAAGTTAAAAGTACTCATGATGCAGAGTGACCCAATTTCAAGTGTTGTAATCATCATATGCATGAATATGTATTGAGTATTAATCGATCAACATCGGCTACATGTAAGCAGCATTTAAATGTTGTCATGGTAGAACTAATTTTAACACCTGTCACTGGTGTACTAGTCTGATCTATAACAACACACAGTAACTTGTAAATATGAAACAACAACATATAAAACAAACTATCTGAAAAGTAACTATAGCTATCAAATAAATGTAGCTTGAGTAGAATGTACAGTGTTTCCCTCTCAGTAAATGAAAATACCCAAAGTACAAGTACATCAAATTTGTACTTAAGTACTTGAGTAAATATACTTAGTCACTGTCCATCACTGCATTTGTCTCATCATAATGCTTTCTGTCCACATTTTTATGGAGACTTGACAGTTGGTACACCTAGAAAAAACAACAGCAGTTTCAGTCTGACATTTTATTGAAGTGTTGAGTTGTAGATTGTGGTGCTGCTGAACTGTACTGGATTGACAGCAGTTTCTCATTTAGTCTGTCCTCACCAATATAAATGGATTAAACAGGTCAGATGTTCAGAGGAAAAGTGTATTCAGCCACACTTCAGACATCATGCAGGTATACACTTCATATCAGATAATCAATATTTAAAATGCTGTTGAATAAATACTACAATAAAGACAATTAATCTTTAAATACAATAAATAAATTGCAATAAATTCTTAAAATCATTATTGAATGGTAAAAACGCATAGGCCTAAATAAGCAAAAGAATGCAAAGAACAATAACATGTTACAACATTTAATAATATAAGAATATATCTTATACTGAGACTGAATGTTGCCCATTAGACATTCCCCACACGGATTACATTTCATATTTAACCACTACAGAGATATCAGCCATGAATTTCAAAAGGACT